TCCCCATTGTGTTACCCTCGCAGTGGCCTGTGAACTCATCCACAATCTGGTCCACCGGCAACAACCTGTGAACCCATGCCCACTATGATTTCCGAGCAATAGCTTGCGAACCCATCCAGACGATGTTCTCCTAGCAACGCCCCCCAATCTGTTCCCCTAACAACAGCCTGTGAACCCATCCCCACTATGTTCTCCTGGCAATGACCTGTGAACCCATCCCCACACTTTTCTCCGAGAAATGGCCAGTAAACCTACCCCAAAAATTTGCCCTAGCATAGCTTTTGAACCCATCCCTACTCAGTTCCCTGAGCTATGACCTGTGAACACGTCCTTACTCTGTTTCCCTTGAAATGGCCTGTGAACCCATCCCCACTCTGTTCTCCTAGCAAAGGCCTGTGAAACTATTCCCAATCTGTTCCCCTAGCATGACCTCTGATGCCATCCCAACTCAGTTTCCCTCCCGATGGCGTATGAACCCGTTCGCATTCTCTTACCGTAGCAACAGCCTGTGAGCCCATCCCCGCTCTGTTCTCCTCGCATGACTTCTGAACCCATCGCCACAATGTTCTCTTTGCAACAAGCTGTGAACCCATCCCCACTCTGTTCTTGTAGCAACGGCCTGAGAATCCATCCCCAAACTGTTCCACAAGCAACGGCCTGTGAACCTAACTTCATCCTGTTCCCGTATCAACGGCCTGCCATAGCTTCCACACTCTTCCTCGAGCCATGGTCCGTGAACATGTCTTTATGCTGTTTCACTAGAAACGGCCTCACTCGGTTCACGTTGCAACCACCTGTGAATCCGTCCCCATCCCATTCTTCTAGCAATGGCCTGTGAACCAATCTCCCCTCTATTCCCACAGCAACAGTCTCTGAGACCATCCCCAATCTATTACCCAAAAAGGGCCTGTGAACACATCCCAGCACTTTTCTCATGGAAACAGCCTGGGAACCCATCCTGGCACTGTTCCCCGAACAATGGCCTGTGAACCAATGCCTACTCTGTTGCCTTAGCAACAACCTGTGAAGTCATTCCCATTCTGTTCCCCTACCAACGGCTTGTGAATCCATCCCCACACTATTTCCCAAAGCAAACTCCTGAGAACCCATCCAAACTCATTGTTCCTTGCAATGGCTTTGAACCCATTCCCATCTGTTCCCCTTGGCAATAGCCTGTGAAACCATTTCTATTCTGATCTACGAGCAACCGCCTGTAACCCCATCTCCCATCTGCTCGCCTAGTGTGATCCTGTCCTCACTCTGTACCCTTAGCAACAGTCTGTGTGAACCCATCCCCACTGTGGTCCCCAAGCAACGGCCTTTGAACCCATCCAAACTCTGTTAACCTAGTAATGACTTTGATCTCTGAGCAACAGCCTGTCAACCCATCACACTTCTGCTCGCGTAGCAATGGCCGGTGACCCCCTTCCCCACTCTATACCCCTAGTAGTGGCCTGTGGACTCATCCTCACTCTGTTCTCCGAGCAATGGCTTTCAACCTATTACCTCTCTTCTAACAATGCCTTTGAACCCATTTCCACTCTGTTCCTCTGGCAACAGCCTGAGAACACATTCCTATTCTGCTGTCCGAGCAGCAGCCTGTTAACCTATCCCCACACTCTTCCACGAGCAATGATTTGTGATCCTGTACCAACACTATTCCCCAAGCAACGTCCTCTGAACCCATCCCCAATCTTTTTGCCTGTCAACCGCCTGTGAACCCATTCCCACTCCGTTCCCCCAGAAACGGGCTGTGAAGGCATCCCCACTCTTCCCCAAGCAAAGGCCTGTGAATCCATCCCTGCTCTTTTCTCCTAGCAATGGCTTTAAACTCATTCTCTTTTTTTCTCTGAACAACAGCCTGTGAACCAATCCCCACTGCTCCTGTAGCAACTGTGAGTAAAACCATTCCCACCCTGTTCCCCTAGCAACAGCCTGTAAACCAATCCCCACTATGTTCTAGCAATGGCCTGTGAACCTATCCCCACTCTGTTCCCCTAACAACAGCCATTGAACCCATCCCCACTCTTCCCCTCGCAATGGCCTGTGAACCCATTCCCACTATGTTCTCCTGGCAATGACCTGCGAACGCATCTCCACCCTGTTCTCCGAGAAATGGCCTGTGAAACTACCCCAAAGGTTGCCTTAGCAATAGCCTTTGAACCCATGCCTAGTCAGTTCCCCGAGCTATGGCCTGTGAACACGTCCTTATTCTGTTCCCTTGAAATGGCCTGTGAACCCATCCCCACTCTGTTCCCCTAGCAATGTCCTGTGAACCCATCCCCAATTTGTCCTAGCAAAGGTCTGTGAACCCATCCCCACTCTGTTCTCCTCGCAGCGGCCTTTTGAACCTGTCCCCATTCTGTTTTCGTAATAATTGTCTGTAAATTCAGCCCCACTATGTTCCATTCCAACTCTGATCCCCAACAATGGCCTGTGAACACATCCCCACTGTGTTCTCCTTGCAACGGACTGAGAACCCACCTCGAATCTGTTCTCCTAGCAAGGGACTGTGAGCCCATCCCTACACTGTTCCTCTGGCAACGGCCTATGAATACATCCCCACACTGTACCTGCGACAGTGGCCTGTGAACCCATTACCATTCCATTCCAAGCAACTGCCTGTGAATCCATTTCCTGCACTTTGTTCCCCGCGCCACGGCCTGTGAACCATACCCACAGTGTTCCCCTAGCAACGGCCTGTGACCCTATGCCCACTCTGTTCCCCTAGCAATTGCCAGTGATTCCATGCAATAGTTTTGAACGTATCCCTTTTTTGTCAACTAGCAATGGCCTGTGAACCATGCCCACCCTGTTCCCCTAGTAATGGCCTGTGATCACATCCTAACTCTGATTCCCTGCAAAAGCTTGTGAACCTATCCATATTCTGATCTCCTTGCAACGGCCTTTAGAACTCATTACCCGTCTGCTCGCCTAGCAAGGGCCAATGAACCTATCCCCACTCTATACACCAAATAACGGCCTGTGAACCCATACTCCCTTTGTCCCCTGGCAACGGCCTGTGAACCTACCCCCAATCTGTTCCCCCGGCAATGGCTTAGAGCCTATCCCCTGTTCTGAGCTCCGAGCAACAGCCTGTTAACCCACCACCTGTCTGCTCACCTAACAATGCCGTGAACCTGTCCCTGTTTTGTTCTCCAAGCAACAGCCGATGAACACATCCCTAGTCTGTACACCTGAACAGTAGTCTGTGAATGCATCCCCATTCTGTTGCCCTAGCAATGGCCTTTTGAACCCATCCCCAGTCAGCTGCCCAATAACGGCCTGTGAACACAACCCCACTGTCATATCCTAACAAGTGCCTGTGAACCCATCCCCATGCTTTTCTCCTAGCGATGGCTTTGAACCCATCTCCTCTCTTTCTTTTACTAGCAATGGCCTGTAAACCCATTGCCAGCCTCTTCTCCCAGTGACGGCCTATGAACCGACCCTACATGTTCCCCTAGCAACGGTTTGTGAACCCATCCCCACTCTGTTTTCTTAGCAAGAGCCTGTGAAGCCATTCCCACGCTGTTCCCCAAACAATGGCCTGTGAATCCATCTCCAATGTGGTCCCCTAGCAAGGGCCAATGAATCTATCTCCCTTCTGTTGTTCTCACAATGGCTTTGAAACAATCCCCATTCTGTTCCACTAGCCATGGTCTTTTGAACCCATCCACAATCTGTTGCCCTCTCAACGGCCTGTGAACCAAAACGTACTCTGTTGTCGTAGTAACGGAAGATATGCAGGGTGTGAGTCAAGTGGAACACAGGTAGTTTGGCTGGTAGAGAATGTGCAGGAGTGAGAGACTGTGAATGAGAATGGGGGAGGGAAGGACATTGGAAAAAAAAGCATGAACAATGGAGGAGGGATAAGAGGGATGGACATGATGAGAGTGGCAGGGAGATATGGAAGGAGAGGTAATGAACGAGAGAGAGAGATGGATTCTGCCAAGACCAGGTCAGAGTCGGTGACCCAGAGGTGAAAGCAAGGACAGAGTAACTTAATTCCAACTCTTGAGCTCGGCCCCGGCCCCCTCCCCTTCCCTGAGGACCAGGACTTTGGGACCAAGTCTGTCTCTCCAGCTCAGCTTCTCCAACACAAAGACAAACCACAAGAAAGTTCACTCTGCTGCTTGATACATTTTAATGAACATTTTTATTATTTACAAATTGAAGCTATAGGTACAGTCAGTGGAATGATGCCTTTTCTCACTGCCCTCTGAGTTGAGACGAACATTGGAATGTGTTCCTGTCACCCTGTGGGGAATAAGGTTGGACAAAGCAGCTTCATCCTCAGTCTGTTGCATTAGTGACCGGCTGCATCATTGCTGAAACATTGAACTGAACTGAGAACTTCCTGAGTGGATTGTTTACTGAGTGAGTTTGATTGATTGATGAATTTGCGTAAAGGGATATTTCAGCACATTCTTCAGCTGCTGTCTGAACTTAGTCTGGGTCACGGCATAAATCGCGGTGTTTGTGCAGCAACTGAGTAGCTGCAGCATGAAGCCCAATTCCTGCACAAATTTAGGTACACGCTCAAGCTGAGACCCCATATTCCACATCCGGTTCCATATAGAATATGCCATTAATGTTGACCATAACAGGATGAAATTGGCTGAGATCACAAACAGTAAAATAATGGATTTTTTCCGATTTCTCATTTCTGTGTCACACTGACCATCCTCATTGGTGTGAGCCCGGAGTCTCCTGCGGGCTCTGCTGGTCACTAAAATGTGTCTGACGGTGAAAACATTGAGCAGCAGAATCAGGAGAAATGGGAGAGTCGGGGTTAGAATGTGGTGGAGGAACTCGATTGTGACCCAGACACGAGACATTTGAACATCGATTGTTACATCACAAAACCAGGGGCTGTTCCCCAGCCAATAGCGAGCTGTGAGCATAAAATACCAGAAAATGTTCTTTAAACAGCTCAGCACAGTCACTGTTCCCAGAACCACAGCCGCCGTTTTCTCACTGCAATATTTACTTTTCAGCTTCTGGCAACAAATGGCCACAAATCGATCAAAGGTGAAAGTGACGGTGAACCAGACAGAACAGTCAGTGGCTGCATAAAGCAGGACGGCGTGGATATTACACACGGGGATGGACACCAGGAAATAAAACTGTTCACGATAAACAATGGGAATGTGTCTCAATATCAGATCGAGGATAATGACCAGTAGATCCGCCACTGCCATGGCCCCCAGGTAACGTCTGACACATGGAGACAATCCACAATCTTTATAAAGCAGGACGTAGATCGTCACTACGTTAACTGTGAGGAAGGAAAACAAATAGAATATTTCTCAGCCTGGAGGCAAAGTTACCAGTTTGATTGAGGATAGGGTGAGATTTTCAAATGTATCACTGATTTATTGAAAAAAAATGAAGATGAAATAGCAAATAGTCATGTCTCAATTTTTTTT